CCCCAAAACCCCAAAACCCCAAAACCCCATGTAATGATTATTATACAAATCAATAGACATAATGAAATTAATATTTTTTTAAAGAGGTAACAAGGTCTTCGAATAATTGTTCGAATTATTATTTGATTATTTCAAAGATCAGGATCTTACAAAGCTTCGTTTAGAAACGTCTTGAGGTCTCTAGTATTTATTTTGATCACCGATAGTCTTTTTATTGGCTAAGCATTGTAAAATAGATTTTCTATTTGCAATGCCATAGTTGAGTTATTTTTTGTTGTTCTGGGAGAGCCATCTCGCTTCGAACGAGGTTTTTCTGCAATCATAGTGGCTTGAGACTTAATTAGAGATTTATCCTGGAATAGTTTCCTAGGATCTGGCTAATTCTGAAAAGCAGCTTTTGCTTAGGCTATTCCTCCGCCACCCATCAATCCGAGTAATTACATCTTACTTAGGGCTTGCACTTTTGAAAAAATTCTTTTTGTTCTAGCTTGTTTTTCACGTTTAATCTCCTCCTTGGCTTCCCTTATTAGTAGAGGCATTTTCCATTCATCTCTTTATTTTTTTTATATTACATAAGATATATTGCGCTTTACACTATTCTCTTTGTTTTTCCACAACATGTTATAGTTCATCATCTCCCGCTTTAAAAGCTCTCTACTCTGAGGAGTCCTCTCTTGAAATTTATCGCTTCCATGCTATCTTATCTTTTTCATAAATTAGGACCTTTCATTTTCAATTACATTCCGATATCTAGTGTGTAGATCTTTATTAAGATCATTTATTTTCTGGTTCAAAAGGTCTTTCGCCTTTTTCTAGACCCTCTCGTCTACTGGATGCTTATCTCTGGATGGAAATTATGATCTTGAATTGGTTGAGAGGCGACCTGAACTGAGAACATCTAGCCTAGACTTGTACCTGTTTTATATACATCCCAATCGTTTAACTGTTTCTTGCAAGTCAGCTATTAACTAAGCAATTAGTCTTTTAAATATTGATACCTCAGTTTTATAAAGCTAGACTCTTGGCTTACTTTTTACATAAGACACTAGTGGGGATTAATATGGAGAGTTCTAAGATTTATCATTATTCATTTTAAATAGGTTACAAATTAAGAGCTAGAAACTGGTACTCTGGTAAGTTTGACTTAAGACATTAAAATAGTAAAAATAAAGTTAATAATTAAACTAATAATTAAGAGAGGTTGAATGAGTAAAGTAACTAATGAAGAGCTATTAATGCATGCGACATTTATATTGATTCAAATAATTCACATTGAGGTGATCTCATCACCACTATTATCCTGCTGACTCTAAGCTGTGCTAGCATCTTCAAATTAATGCTATGATTTAAGAAGATGCATTACATGTCTGTATTCATCCCTAATTTCAATAATTTTATTAGTTAGGAGTTAGGTGCCTGAATTAAGACTGAGTCTTCTGAACTCGTCACTTGCTAGCATCTGCTAAGTTGCAGCCTTAATGTTATTATTCTCTTCAACTTGAAGTTCTTAGACTATCTGCCTGTATCTGTTCTTTAATCCCTTCAAGTGAAATAAATATGACTTAATTGACTCTGTAGCTTCTGATTGTTGTTGATCCAAGTTTTCCTCGACATCTAGATGTAAATTAATCGGATCAGAGTGTTGATTTTCTTGATAATGATCCTATTACTGATCTGAATATTGCTTCTTCTGATTATCACTGATACTTTCATTAAAGTCTAATTATCTATTAAGTCTGGAGATCTCAAATACCTTAGACATACTTCTTTGGTTAACTTTTTAAGGCTGTTAAAAAGAGGATTTCATAGACAGGTTTTTACAGGAGTTTTAATTAGCTGCTCTTCTAACTGACTTTGGATGGAGATCATCACTCATATTCAACAAAAATTCAAGTTCTATTTCACTGTTTTTACTCTCATCATTCTACCCATTGAAATGCTCGATTCTTGAAAGTATGACTATTTTAGATCCTTCTTCTATTGGCAAAGAATTCTTGTTCTTTGTTTATTTTTCATTTCTAAATATCGTATCCTGCTGATTAGGCTACTCAAATTGATAGTTATTCGCTATTTCAAATACTGGTTTGTCTTTCATTGACACTTAGGGAATAATGGAAGAGCTATCTTTTCTCTCCCTAACTTTTTGATGTAGCTAGCCAACCTTTGAAATAACTGGAATAGCATTTCTGTCACCCTCTAGCAAATCTTTCTCATTGAAACTGCTTAGTAAACTTTCCCTCCTAGTCTAGGGGATATCCTGTTCATGAAAATTATCTGGTATGTGTAGAACATTCAAGCATTTTTTCTTGATTTGAACTTCAGAGAAGAAGTTATTTCTAACAACCATGTTTCAAACTTTCTCTTGCTCATTCTCGTCTAATATTTCAACTTATGGTCGATCCTCATCATCATCAGACTAACTCTCTTGGGAGGTAAAGAAATACTTGTTGTTAATCATTTTTCTTCTGGTCTCTGAGAACTCTTCATTGAGAGTCTCAAGTGGATTCTTCTGACTATCCTATGTGTCTTTGTAATTACAGTGACTTTTTTCTGTCTGAAATAGGTGATTGCTGCTTTGACTTGAAACTATGCATTTGCTAGACAATGTGGTAAACTTATTTTTATGCAGTGATTAGTTTGGCTGATTTCTTGACTTATATCCGAACAGTTGCTTCTTGCTTGAGGTCTAAGTATCTATTCCAGTCAGTTTTGATGGTGAACTATCATTTCTGTTTCGTTCGAATTTAGATTTCTTATAAGCCATTTAGCTGTTATGTGCTTACTATTCATCATGAATTTTAATCTTGCTAGCATTTATGCCAGCATTTGCTGCAGTGCCTTAGACTTAAGTCACTTTAGAAGTGTTTCTAAAAGAAGTGCTTGGAATTGTAGTATTCTATTTGGTGGACTACTAAGTCTTTAGATTTTAGGTAGTTTTAGGCACTTGCTTCTGATACTGTACAAGCGGTCCCGAGACGAGAGTATTGTTTCTTTTGAGAGTTGGGTTTAAGTTGACAGATGACTACTTATTTTGCTTCATTTTAATTATCAACGTATAAATATTGACTCCTTTAATTATAATTATGCTGGCTAATCTTTGATCCACTTTGATGCTCTGGGGTTTTGGGGTTTTGGGG